AACTGAAGTGCCCATTGGTGTGTCCATTAGGAAGACTTTAATGCCTTTACCATTTAAAGTTTTGGTAAGCGGAATAGAAGCACAAACCCCTTTGCCTTCCAGTGAGAAGTAAATAGAGGTTAAGGTGTTAAAAACTATTAAGTGCCATTTTTCCAAGAATCCCTCTTGTATGGAAAGGAAGAGAGCAGTGGTTGATGGTTCTATACAAGATAGTTAAGGTCCCTTTGGTCCCCCCATATCAATTAAGAAGGGCGGTGTATCATTGGAACTTTCAAAACCAATTTATATTGGGTCCTGAAAACTTTCTTAAAGTGATATTTTGGAGACTTTCCCCAATTTGTAATGACTGTTACAGTACTTAAATATTGTAAATCTGTTGAACCCTTTTGAGGGTTTGGGCTGGCTATTTTATCCTTGTTTTACTGTTAAGGAACCTGCGCTTGAGAGGGTTTAAGTAATTTACCCAAAGGGTAATCCAACTATAAGAGTACAGCCAGGATTGCAGGCCAAATCTTCTAACTCCAAATCCATTGCTTTTTTTTTTTTTTTTTTTTGTGAGGAAGATCAGCCCTGAGCTAACATCCATGCCAATCCTCCTCTTTTTGCTGAGGAAGACCGGCCCCGAGCTAACATCTATTGCCAATCCTCCTCCTTTTTGTGAGGAAGATCAGCCCTGAGCTAACATCCATGCCAATCCTCCTCTTTTTGCTGAGGAAGACCGGCCCCGAGCTAACATCTATTGCCAATCCTCCTCCTTTTTTTTTTTTTTCCCCTTTTTCTCCCCAAAGCCCCAGTAGATAGTTGTATGTCATAGCTGCACATCCTTCTAGTTGCTGTATGTGGGACTCGGCCTCAGGATGGACGGAGAAGTGGTGCCTCGGTGTGCGCCTGGGATCCGAACTCGGGCCACCAGCATCGGAGCGCGCGCACTTAACCACCAAGCCACGGGGCCGGCCTTGTCTATTTTTTCTGTAGGTAAAATGTTTAGGCGCCGGCCAGGTGGCATAGCGATTAAGTTCGTGCGCTCTGCATTGCTGGCCTGGGGTTCCCTGGTTCGGATCCTGGGCATGGACTGATGCACTGCTTGTCACCATGCAGTGGCCGCATCCCATATAAGGTAGAGGAAGGTGGGCATGGATGTTAGCCCAGGGCCGGTCTTCCTCAATAAAAGAGGAGGATTGGCAACAGATGTTAGCTCAGGGCTAGTTTTCCTCACCGAAAAAAAAAAATGTGTAAGGATCTCAATTGAGTAGTAAACTGACTTCACTATATCTCATCCTGAGTGAGAAGGGCCTTTTCTTTTCTTCGTAGATAATTGCATAGGAGATTTTGTTTCCCTTTTGTAAGATGAGTATGTGTGCAAATCACTAAGGATGGCCTTCATTCAGGTGGGGATTAAGCTCCCTTCCTTGAGGGGGGAGTATCTACATAAATTATTTGGAATTCTTCTGATATTTGGAATATCTCTTCTTTCCCATTTATTTACTTATTCAGTCATTTATATCTGCATGGACTCATGAATATTTATTTTGTACATTGGGTTATAATCCAATATGATGTTATTTGTTTTGTTGCTCAAATTGTCCTAGCTTTTGCCATTGGATCCCCTTTCATATTGACTCCTGTGTTTCTTTGACATGCCCTCATTTTTGCTTTTTGAGCACTTTTTTACTTTCTGAGCCTAAAAGGCTTATTTTGTATATTTGTGTGCCAACCGTAGAATCACCCATTCTCCTGGGAGCCCTGGTTCCTTTTATTGGAGAATGGTATGCAAATCCAAGGTCTGGGCACTGGATGTGCTTGATGCTACTGGCATGTCATTGCTTTTAAGCCCTTTCAGCCGACAGAGCTAGGAAATATATTTATGTATTATAACCTATGTGTATACACACATCTATAAGTATTTCTATATCCATCTCTCTCTATATTAAAGCTAAACATGAGTTCATACTGATGTCTGGACTCTAGTCTGGTACCATATGGTTCATTCTAGTCTTCCCTCTGCTTATCTGTAACCTCCCTCTCCACCAGTGAGAAACCTTGCTGTCATTATCTACCATCCGTTTATTTATTTATTCATTCAATCTTATTGTACATATATAGTGGTTTCAGAATTGTTAATCTGTACTCCTATGAGAAACAACTTCACCAACTAGACTACAGTGTTTATGTACAGTTCCTTTTGTCTTTAGCCTTGCAATTTCTAGTCATAACACCATTTTCCAAAGTTACTTAGGCCAGCATCTTATTTCTCCCCTCCCTCAGTGAGGTTATACCGTACATTTCTAATCCAATTAGATGTATTTATCACAGTCTACATTCTGTCCTAGGATTTCCCCACTGCCCGCCTCCTGGTTGATTTTTTTTAAAATTGCATATATTAAGTAAGATTCGCTCTTTCTGCTGTAAAGTATAATATTTTAAATGGGCAGGATTAAACCGTTATCTCTTTTTCTTCTTTCTCAGTGGAAGAGGACATCCTTCCTTCTTTTGGAACTTCCAAAAGAAAGTTCCTCGGCATCTGTAATGCAGCACTGGTCTAGGTCTCCTACCTTTCAGCTATCATCTCTTTTTGCTTCTGCTGGCTCCTCCTCTCCCTGATGGGCACCTTCCTCTCTGCCTTTGTACCAATACCACATTATTTTACTTATTCTAACTTTAAGACCTGATTTAATATATAGTAAGTCTAGGCTCCCTTCAATACTTGCCCTGTTTATTTTTCTAAATTTTTTGTTGTTCTTACCTGCCCTCCCCAACCCCTGTCAACTTGAATCACTTTACCAAATATACAACCAACCAACGAACCAATAGCCAGCTCTTTTGGCATTTTGATTAGAATATAATAAATTTATTAATTATTTTGGGAAGAATCAGCATCTTTATAATATTGAAATTTCCCGTTTAGGAGCTATCTGTATATCTATATCTACATATATCTGTGTGTTCTTAGCTTTTTATGTCTTAACCTTATAGTTTTGTGGATATCTGAATAAAGGTCAATTTCTGACTAATCTGGGAAACATTGTCTTTGTGATATGAACTGTTAAAATTTAACTACTCTGTCTTGCTGTTTAGTTGTGTATCCTGTAAAGTTTTAGGCTATTTTCTTTGAATATTTATGCTTATAAGCTATTATTTGAATATTATTATGGCTAAGTCTGCCACTTTCATCAGTGAGTTACAATGATAAGAATTACTTGACAGATGATTATTTTAGTCAGGAGCATTAGTTTTAATTCTGGTATTTCAAGAAAATATTATTTAAATTTTTTTGTTTTTTGTTTTTGTTTATTACTACTCTCAGAAATGCCTTCACCATTTACCTTACAGCCCATCCTTCTATTGTGGGTTTAGAATTTTATTGTTTTGGAAGCAAAGGTAAGAAAGTCACTTCTCAATATAGTCTTTTGCTTTGGAGTTACAAAAATTTTAATGTAGGTGTGTTTACATAATTTGAGTGTTACCAGAACCTTGAGATTTTCATAATAAACCCTAGAAACCTTAAAGTAAATTAACTTGTAAGTTTCTTATAAGTGGTATGCTACTGTTTGATTTCTTTGGAGTACATTTTATTACTTTAGAAATGTGATCTTCATTAACTATTAGGCTGTGGTTTTAGGTTAGAAAAGGAGTATTTTAAACTACCTTCATGTTGTTAGTTGAATACAAGGAAGTAATACTAGAAATGAGACCATTTCTCTCATGGAAATTTAGAAATAAAAAAATCAAGTTTATTAATATTTCAGTAAACCTTGCTTAAGCAAATCTTTGGTGCAGCCTCCTGTTCAGATCTTGCTTTTGTTACCTTTCAACTCCTGCCACTCTGCTCCCCCACCCACCAAAAATTAGAGAAAAGAAAATGAGTGTACAGGCAGAATTTGTGTGTTAAGAATACCAGAGAGCTGGTCACACTGTGACCCCTATAGAACTTTTTGTCAATTTTCTAGAGAGTTTTAATCTGTGAGACCTCCCATTTATAATTATATTTTGATGTTTCATTATATTCTTCTTGGAATCTTTGCTTTTTAATCCCAAGAAATAGAAGTGATATCTTCTAGTTGATGGTTTTTTATTCTTACATAGATTCATCTGAAAACTACATTAACACAAAGACTTTTGAAGGCTTCTGTGCATTACATCTTGCTGCAAGTCAAGGACATTGGAAGATCGTACAGATTCTTTTAGAAGCTGGAGCCGATCCTAATGCAACTACTTTAGAGGAAACCACGCCACTGTTTTTAGGTGAAGTATGCTATTTGTGGTACAGATGCAATTTTTAAATTTTAATGTTTTTGTTAAAGAAACTAAGGTTAACATTCCCCCAAGATATTGTCTTTATAGTATGTTCTTGGACAAGTATTATACTGCCACTTCTTTGATTCTGAAACCAAAAAGGTGTTTTTAAAGGCTCCCCACTTGTTTTCCACCCTTGGACGATAGCATCTGGGAATATCTTTAAATGTTTATTTAAAGTTGTAAAATCTGTTCTGAGCTGTGGTTACCATTGTTGTTCTCAGTGTTGTTCTGAAGACTGGGTAGAGCTTAAATCATACCAATAGTTACAAGGTTAACTGTGAATGTTTTATGTTTGCTTTTTCTTTTTTTTAGCATTAAGAAATTAAGAAGGTTTTATGGAATAAATCACCAGCTAATCTTTTAATGCCAGTTAATTTTTTGCCTTTATGGCTTCAGACTATTCAGACATCTTCAATTATGGACTGTTTTTTAATTCTTTAAGGACAAAGGCTGAATTATAAAGGACATACTTCTAGTACCTTTTTTTTTTTCCCCTCCCTCCTTCCCTTTGATCCTGTTTGTCTTCAGAGACATTGTGGCCCATAAAGTTTAGTGGAACATGAGAAAGTTACGAGAACAGGGCCGGCCCCGTGGCTTAGTGGTTAAGTGAGCGCGCTCCACTGCTGGCGACCCGGGTTCGGATCCCGGGCTCGCACCGACGTGCTGCTTCTCTGGCCATGCTGAGGCCGCGTCCCACATACAGCAACTAGAAGGATGTGCAGCTATGACACACAACTATCTACTGGGGCTTTGGGGGGAAAAAAAAAAAAAAAAAAACCTTAAAAAAAAAAAAAAAAAAAAAATTACGAGAATAAACATCTGTCTAGAGTCACTGTGTCTGCACTACAGTTTTGGTCCTGTCATGTGTAATTTTTATGTTCATTTATTTACTGTATGCTTCAGTTTCCTCACCTATAGAATGAGAGGAATAATACCCACCTAGTCTTTATTGGGCTGAGAATAAAATGAAATCTGTGTGAAAGTACTTTTTTCCTTGTGAACTTAAAAATATATACTCTTAAAATTTATGTGTATTAAAATTCGTTTTTTTAATGTACAGTTCTGTGAGTTTTGATGTATGCATAAAATTATGTAATGACAATGACAATCAAGACATAGAACTGTTAACATCACCCTCCAAAATTCCATCATGCTGCCTATTTTTTTTTTTTTTCTCTTTTTGTGGGGAAGATCAGCACTGAGCTAACATCTGACGCCAATCCTCTTTTTTGCTGAGGAAGACTGGCCCTGGGCTAACATCCGTGCCCATCTTCCTCTACTTCATATGGGACCCTGCCACAGCACGGCTTGACAAGTGGTGTGTCGGTGCACACCCGGGATCCAAACCTGTGAACCCTGGGCCACTGAAACGGAGTGCACACACTTAACCGCTGCGCCACTGGGCTGGCCCATTGCTGTCTATTTTTAATCAACCTTTGCCCCCTACTTTTCGACCCCTGAGAACCAGTCATCTGTTTTCATCCCTGTAGTTTGCTTTTTTGCAGAATGTCATAAAGATATATGGAATAATACAACATGTAACCTTTGAGACTGACTTCTTTCAGTTAGCATAATGCTTTTGAGATTCATACATGTTGTTGCATGTATCAATAGTTCATTCTTTTTTATTGCTAAAAGGTATTCCATTATATGAATGTACAGCAGTTTATCCATTTACCAGTTGACAGACATTTGAATTGTTTTCAGTGTTTGGTGATGATGAATAAATTGCTACAAACATTTGCATGCAGGTTTTATTTGACTATAAGTTTTCATTTCTCTGGGATTAATACTTAGGATTGTTGGTTCCTGTGGTAAGTATATGTTTAACTTTGGAAAAGAATTTGAAAGTTTCTTATAAAGTGACTCTACCATTGTGCATTCCCTCCAGTAATGTTTGAGTTTCACTTATCCCACATCCTCACCAACACTTGGTATTGACAAATTTTTCTTTTTCAGTTTTACATTTTAGCCATTTTAATAGAGATTTAGTGGTATCTCATTGTGGTTTTAATTTGCATTTTTCCTGATTGCTAATGATGTTGAGCATCTTTTCATGTGATTATTCGCCATCTTTCTTTTTTTTCTGCATTACTTTTGTGTTTAGACATTTTGTTTTGAAATAATTTCAGACTTATGGAAATGTTCAATAACAGTATAAAGGATTCTTGTATACTTTTCACCCAAATTTTGTTCTTTTGCCATGTTCACTTTATCATTTTTCCTTTGTTTATCGATATGTTTTTCTGAACCCTTTAAGATTAAATTGTAAACATAATGCTTCTTTACCCATGAATACTTCAGTGGGAACTTCCTAAAAGCAATGAAATTCTCTTATATAACTGCCACATTATGATCAAAATCAGGAAGTTAGCATTGATACAGTACTGTTATTTAACCTTCAGATCTTATTCAGTTTTGCCAATTGTTCCACTAATGCCCTTAAATAGCAAAAAAAGCATCCAATCCTGGATAACTTGTTATATTTAGTTATTGTGTCTCTTGAGCCTCCTGTAATTTGGAACAGTTTTTCAGTCTTTATCTTTTATGATTTTAACATTTTTTTTTTTTTTTTAAAGATTTTTTTTTTTTTT